CTAGCTAGCTAGCTAGCTATCTCAGTCCCTTCTTTTTTATATCTGTACCTCTCTCTCTCTCTATATATATATATATATCAATTCCTTTCTGCGTTTGGCTGAATATTCCCGTCATAGTTATCTACCCTTTTCATAATCACCCTTTTTCTCCCCTCCTTACTTTTCCTTTTTTTCTCTCGCCCTTCTCCCTTTCCGTATTTCCCTCACCCAAGATGAGGAAATTGAGAAAATGACAAATATGTCATTATTTACTATTTTTTTTTATTATTATTAAGAAAGTTTCTAAATTATAAAATCGCCATTTTTCCTCAAGGAACTGCCTAGCCATCCTAACCGCCTCCTTTCTCTCGACTTCATGAACTTAGAGGGCGTACTAGAACAAGGTTTAGGAGAAAGTAGGAAAAAATATATTTTTTTCAGAGCTTGTGGAGAGCCATGATCGCATAAGTCCATGAAGGGACACAGGTTTTCATCTACATCTCATAATTTTCCTGTGCAAATCGCAAGGTGTAACCGTAACTTCTACGCTAGCAGTTTCTTCTCTCGCACTTGTTCAACTTCAAGTTGCTGTACTCTTGTCATCTAGGATCTTCAAAAATGCAATGTTAGTCGTCATCTTCTGTCTCCTTGAAAGCTGTTTTTTAAAGTCTTCTCTGTCTCTTTCGCCCTCAGTAGCCCCGTGGATCCTAGTGACATGTATTGCTTTGCTTAGGGTGAAATGATTAGCAATGAAAATCTGTTTTCCTGGGTAGAAAGAATTTTATATACTACAACCGGCTGGCAGTTCTGTCGATGAATGTCGAATGTTTCCTTATAAGGAAACAGTGAATATTATCTTTGTCATTACTATTCGGGGGTATCGTTTGGACTAAAGATGTATTGAAATCTTATAGAAGAATTTTTTTCTGCAGCATAGGGCATTTCAATAAATGAAAAATAGGAAATACTGTCGGTGAAACAGGTGCCGAATTCTGTTTAATAACTATAAAACACATCAAAGACAACAACATCACTTTCATTGTAGCTGCACATTTCAACCAACCGAACCATAGCATTGATGACGTTAGATGTGTCCTTTTAGCGTCTTCCTCTAAATGCCAACAAGAACGCCGAAAGTCAATGTTAAAATACAGTTGTAGATTTAAACAGAAATTTAGGCAATAAATACAGTTTACGCAAAAAAAGCCATCTGCAAACCCTGTGCAAACGTAATTGTGGCAAACAGATTGCCCCGAACTTTCTAGGTTTCATCAATAATCTAACAGATGCGAAAAGAATTCACCCAACATAATGAAACTTCATTTTATTCTTTTGTACTGGTAGGTTTTTCAGTCAATGTAGCATGGACTAAATTGTTCAATAAATACAGGAACGTCACAGTTATTATCCGAAAGTTGCAAAAACCTACTAGTACAAAAGAATTCTCCTATTACCATATTAGTACAAAAACGCACAATCGTAAAATTTAAAAATTCAGCCTCAGCGTTGCGACCGCACGCTCCAAAAAAATTTCTTACAATTAACAATAACACATTTCTAAAAACATTTTTTCGGATTACATCTCTATTTTCGTTGGCCTGTTATTACCATGGAAGTATTTGTAAAAAAAGACAGAGAGAGGCGACGGCGCGTCTGTGAGAGAGCGACACTAGACTTGATGCCAGATCAGGGCCAATTATATTGCATATCCGCCTCTGGATCTTATCAAGAATCCAGAGGCAAACAGAAGGGGCTCCAGACCATATATGGCCGCAATACTCCATGCAAGAGCGAATTGTTGCTTTGTCGATCTGAAGGATCGATTCCGGGGAGAAAAATTTCCTGGCGCGGCTCAGGGAGCCAACTTTCCTTGCGGTGGATGAAGCAATTGACTCAATGTATTTGTTCCATCTCAAGTCTGCAGTCAACGTGAGACCGAGCAGCCGCAGAGAGTTGCTCTCGAGAAGTTGAGCGTCAGACATTTTAATGGAGGGCGGGGAAGGATCTCTGTGATGATTAATAGAGAGCAGTTTTGTTTTTGAGGCTTTAAAGTTGACCAGTCAATTCCTGCCCCAGTTCACAACCGACCAGCCAATTCCTACCCCATTTCACAATTTATTATGTAGATATGTGTTTGTGTGTGTGTTAGGCTATTGATACACGCGTATACATACACTTACTACACAAAACCAATTGTCACAATGTTCACTTTCTGATCATGAGACTCTCACTAATGATAATAGTAATAATAGCCGTTTCCCTACAAGGAAACTTTTGACATTCATTTTCGGTTGAAATTCATAAAATCTTTCTCTAAAAGCAATTTTATAGGAAAATAGTTTTTTTTTTCAAGTCCACTGTTATATCTCTTTCCAATACTGATGGGAATATCCTCCCTAATTTGATGCACAGGGTGCTCCGAAAGTGTTGTCGCCCCTACCAAAAACGAGAACAATATAAGAACAAGTAATACAGTAATACAATGCACGTGTCCTAGATCCAGTTTATTTACTTTCATTGACGCTGTCAAACACTGAGTTGGTCTGTATGGACACCATCATTTGTTCCCTAAAATGGCGGGTGAGTATTATTTTCTCTAGGCGTAAGTGACGTGTAAACTATTTAAATTCAGCCTTCACCTTTGATTGTTAAGGTCATATGCATTATTTTTGTTGTCAGTTCTCAAGAACAAAGAAAAAATATATAAACTCACTTTCATGTGTGTAGGTGTTATTCCAATTCCATCGCTTTTTAAAACAATATACAAGCTGGTCCTAAAGTCTTGTCACCCCCTACTAAAAAAAGGTAATGAGAACAATAGAACAACAAGTTATGCATTAATACAAAGCACATGTATTAGATTCAGTTTATTCACTTTCATTGACGCTGTCACACATCGAGAAGGTCTGTATGAACATCATCATTTTTGTGCCAGCCATCTGAAATAGAAAATTATCTAGGGTGACAAAACATTCGGACCATCCTGTGGATTCATAGATGAAATTACAAAACATCATTATAGGTAATCAAATGAAATGATGAGAAAAAGTGAGGGGTCAGTTTTGTATTGTTCTTTAGTATTAAGTACATCCCCCACTTCTCGGCCACGGTACAGGGTGGTCCGAAAGTTTTGTCACCCACTACCACAACGTAATGAGAACAATATAAGAACAAGTAATACAAAGCACATGTATTGGATTCAGTTTCCTTGACGCTGTCACACATCGAGACGGTCTGTATGAACATCATTTTCGTGCCAGCCATCTGAAATAGAAAATTAGATTATGTAGGAGTGACAAGACTTTCGGACCACCTGTGGATTCATAGATCACATTACAAAACAATAAGTAATAAAATGAAAAGATGATAAAAAGTGAGGGATCAGTTTTGGATTGTTCTTTAGTATTAAACACATCCCCCATTTCTTGGCCATGGTAAACGCTGGTCTGAAAGTCTTGCCACGCCCTACAAAAAAAAATGTTATGAGAACAATGGACGAACAAGTAATACAGTAATACAAAGCACATGTATTAGATTCAGTTTATTCAATTTCCTTGACGCTGTCAAACATCGAGAAGGTCTGTATGAACATCATCATTTTCGTGCCAGCCATCTGAAATAGAAAATTATATTATGTAAGGGTGACAAGAGTTTCTGACCATCCTTTAGTTGGAATGTCAACATCTTGATTATGTCATTATTTTCTTCTTGAGTTAAATGTATTATGCAGTCTAGCTGTTAAAATCCTCAAGTAATGCCATTTCTGTTATTTGGTACAGTTTTTGCTCAAATCTTCTTTACTGGGAATGTCAAATGCTATTTGTTAACCATTGATACTTGCATTATTTTAGATATTTTTTCTCCTTGAGTTTAATGTATTTAAGTTATGCAGTGGATGTTTTTTTTGTAGCAATTGGTGGTGTTTTTGAAAGACTATCCGTAGCGCAGCCTGTTTTATTGTCTTTCCTTTATCCTCATCCATACACAGGGGAGGTAATGCCATTTCTGTTATTTGGTGAAGTAGTTGAGTTTTTTTGCATTCATCAACCAGTGTTTTCGGTTTGAACTTCATAAAATATTTCTCTAAATGCAATTTTATAGGAATTTGTTTTTTCAAACCAATAACTGTTATATCTCTTTCAATACTGGGTTTTTCCTTAATGTAGTGTGAAAATGTCAACATCTTGATTGTGTCACTATTTTTCTTCTTGAGTTAAATGTATTATGCTCCTCAAAATAATGCCATTTCTGTTATTTGGTACAGTTTTTTGTTCAAAGAAGCTATTTATTTGTTAACCATTGATACGAGAAAACGGTTGCATACAGCTGACAGTTTAGATATTTCAGAACGGGTTTGGTGTCATGCATGACATCCGTATGAAAGTATCCATTTAACGTGGCTATTTAAGACATTATTCAAATTTATTGATGAAGGTTTTGGTTTTGCAGCAATTGGTGGTGTTGTTAAAGACTATCCCTAGCGCAGCCTATTTTATTGCCTCATATCTTTATTTCCTATGCTAAATTTATTACCACTGGTCCATACACAGTGGTGGGGTGTAAAGTGTGAAAAATGACATATAACATCAAAAGACAGGAATTTATGATGAACCTGTGGAGGTTAACAAGTTTTGTGGGTTTTGTGTGTATCTTCTGTTAAGCTTGGAGAATAATTAAGCATTCTTATTGCTCAAAGTAGAGTCTAATAGTTTTATAAAAACCTCGGAAAATTCCGGTAAAATATCTTTAATCATTTGTAAGATACAACGGTCCAAAGCTTAATCTAACAATTGGATAATTTTGCTATTACCCGATTTGGACCCGATACACCATTGAAAAAAAAACTGCTTCTACATACAGTAAATAAACCATTTGCCATAAAAAAACTGGATTCAATTTACAAAGATTTTACGTTATTCCATTCTTCAAACAATCAAAGGAAAGATAAAATATTTTTCACGGTTCTGGTCTTCAGAATAAACTGTGGTGCCCGAATCTCATTAAACATGTAGTCACACAGA